TTATTTCTTTGAAGTTTTCAGTGCTTTACAATGGACCAAGCAGCACTTAATGTGCTTCCACCTCTCCCAGCAGACAGATGCCAGGAAAACTAAGACTGAGGAATAACTACCAAGAATCCTGTGCTCTACTGTAACATCTCCTAAACACAAAATATCGCATTTTCCACGCGGTGAGAGGTAAGGAAGATAAGGAAATGGCCGGAAACGAAGGGCACCTTGCGGCGCTTGCTGCGCTGACCTGAAGGGGCCCAGGCAGGCACTGGGAGCCGCTTCGGATTCTTGCTCCTTTTCAGCCCGACTGTAGGACAACAGCGAAGTGTGGCCCTGCTGACTTTCTAAATGCACAGGATGGGACTGGCAACAGCTCTGAGGAGGGCCAGAAGCAGCTGGACCAACTGCTGACCTGCAAAGTGATGGCTGAGCACACAAAGGGGCTCAGAAGAAACACAGTGTCCCAGAGCTTGAGAGTAAGCAATGGTGAAGATGAGGTCTGAAATGAGATCGATCACATATTTTTAAGAAGATGCTATAGAATAAGAGCTTGCCTGGTGAGCGCAAGGGCCTGAGTTCAATCCCTGGTTCTAAATTAAAAAAACAAAAAAAAAGAAGCTCCCTCTTGGAGTATACACTGCTCCCTGCCCCCAAAGTAAGGCTTAAATACTACTTTTAAAGAAAGCATTTTTTTCTAGAAAGTCGTAGTTTGGAATGAAGTTACTTAAGATAGCAAATAAAACTTTTATGTTACTGTAGCTGCTATTTTCTTTGAGCAGATTATACTTAATATATTTGATACATACTTCCTGTCAGTCTTATAAATTTTATGACTCACATTTTCGTTCTGATTCCATTCACTTTTAGACCTGATCTTTTTATACAATGAAGTAGTATCTAACCATACAGAAGGACAAACTTGACTTTGATAGGTAAGTGGCTACCTTACCTACCGAACTCACAGGTGAAAACACTGGGTCATCCAACTCCCTTGTGTCAGGAACTGAGAGAAAAAAGGTCCAAAATGCACAACAGAATCTTGTAAAATAGGAAAAAAATTATTGAAAATAAATGAGGAACTACGATGGGGGAAGGGAAGGGAAGGGAAGGGAAAGGGAAAGGGAAAAGGAATAAAGGGAAAAGGAAAGAAAAAAACAAAATACAAGATAGTTATACTACTAGTTTCTCTTAGTTCACTGAAAAGAAAGGTTTGCGCCAATATTCTTGGGAGAATTTTTTATACCCATATCTTTTACTGATTATTTACTTTAAAGATAACAATACTCATTATATTAATTATTGTTATTCTATTATGTTGTTATGAAATTTTGTTTTACATTTTTCCATAAAAAATTAAAAATAAAGATCAGAAACTGCACTGTTAATGGGGAAGACATTTGAGGGGGACAAACATAATTTTATGATAGTGCATTATGTTACAGTAACTCACCTACAAGACAATTGTTTCAATATTATATACGTGGTACATTAGAATTTATTTTTTATTTATTTATTTATTTTTATTTTTTTAATTTTTTTTAGGTACATTAGAATTTAACTATTTACTTAGATTTTAAAGAATGTTGGAAGTGTTATTACATGACCACTCAAATCGAGCTTTTGGGTATTCGTACTGGTTCCTGGAGCAACACCAGAGTAATCTAAGGTCTAAGGCATATATAGAATAAACAATTCAGAAATGTTTGACACTGTATGGTACCCTGTTCTCAATAAATATGACAGTAACAGGTGTTTCAAACAGAGGCAAGGTGAACAAACTGGACAAGAAACTATAATTTTATGAAGTGTCTGAGTATATTCTTAAGGAATACCCTTATTTAAAAAACAAACCAGTCACTGTTATCCTAGTAGGATTCTTTAAAATAACTTATCTTATATTTCAAGAGTTAAGTGTGTTTAAAAGAATTAACATTCTTATAGAAGCAACCAACAGTGATAAAAAAAAAAATTAAAAGGCAGCCTTTCATAGGTAAATGAATCTGTGACTCCAAGACAACCATGCTGAAATTAACCCCAACACTGTTGTTCTGTCCCAGTAGAGCAGTGGTTTCTTATTTTATTTTATTCATTTATTTTTGGTACTGGGGATCAAACTCAGGACCTTGCACTTGACAGGCAGGTATTTATGCTGCTGAGCTATCTCTCTGGTTTCTTTTCTTTTTTTTTTTTTTTGTATTTAGGAGAGGGATTACAGGGTTTACAAGTCTCACTACATAGATGGGATTCTAGTGATCCGCCTGTGTTCAGCCTCCCAAAAGCTGGGATTAGAGGTGCGTGTCACCACGGCCAGTCTCAATCACCACCTCAGGGTGCCCTGGGGGCAGAGCCAGCACAGCACACCAGGGATTGAACCCCTGCTGCTTCTGTCTGTTGCTCAACAGGCACTGTAGTCTGTTGAGCTATCTGGCTGGTGCTTCTCCCTAGTTTCTTATTTAATACAAATAATAGAGGACTATGAATTGGGAACTTCTCCTTCCTTCCTTCCTCCCTCCCTTTTCTCCTTTTTTTTGATACAGGGTCTCGCTACCCAGTTCAGACTCATAGTGATCCTCCTGTCTCAGCCTCCCCAACACTGGGATTATAGGTGTGCACCACCATGCCCGGCTTTGGGGCTGGCATGGAATCCCGGGCGCCCGCAAGGCATGTGGTACCAGGGATTGAAACCCGGCCCTTGAGCTTGCCAGGCAGGTGCTTACTGCGCCCAGCTATCTCCCCATCCCTGAGAACTACTTTCTTAATTACCTTCCTTTTCCCATTCTCTTACCTCTCAATATATCAGGTATGTATAGTATATGACTCGGGGCTCATGATGGCGTAAAGTACACCCCACACAGTGAAACAGGGGAGAAGGGAAGGGGTGATTTAGTGTTAGCCTCCAAATTAGTATCATAAAAAGTATTTAATGTACACATATTTTTTCTTACATTTATTTTATTCTTAATATCAAGAGTCCTAACATTTAGTATTTTATAGGAAGTATTTGTTATCACTCAGTTTTCATGTAATCAGATGAAAGCGCTGTGACTTTCAAGGTGCAGTGCCCTGTGTGCTAGCGGAACATAGCACCGAAGGCTGTTTGTGGGCGTGCGGGGGCCAGTGGGGCCGGTGCAGCTGCCAGGACACTGCAAGGCTGGGCGTCCTCTCAGGCCTCTTCAAAGCCTACCAGAGACAACTCAGGCTGGCGCACGAGAGGCTGAGAGCTTTATCCTTTCTTCTTCCTCTCACCCTGCCTGCCTTTGCCCATTTCAATGTCCTCCAGGAGAAGATGGAGAAAAAGAAATGACAGTCAACCCATCAACTTTCCATACCCAGGGAGCCAGTCATACTAAGCCGTCCTTGGGGTACAGTGAATTGGAACCATTTTTGTGGATTATTTTCTGTTGGCAACAAAGTCCCTTCAGTTTATACTTTATAACTCATTTTCTGCCATGATACATAGTTAAAAAGTGACTTGGATATAACCCCAATATATCCAGTGTAAAAATAAATGGACATTTTCTTACAAATTTGTATACAATGACATCAGTTTTTATGAATTAGCTACAGTTAAGGCATAATTCCCACAAAATCGTCCATCCTTACTAGGAATGATTGAAATTTCAGAGTACAAAATCATTCATTGATTAAAAGATAATTATGTAGTCACTTGTCAGAGAAAGATATAAAAAATGATTCTTAATACCACTGTGAACAAAAATGTGAACATAATACAATTTTTAAAAAATATTTTAATAGTTGCCATTTTTGCCTGTGCTATTAATATATACATTGATTTAGTAATAAATATAATTTCATTACATAGAGTGCAATATTTTTAGTATTCATAACTGGTTGAAATTAATGCTGCTATTATCTCAAGAAAGGGATAAATAAATATCATGCCCAAATTCCAAACTAATGCTCAAGAGGTTATTATTAACAAAAACTATAAAATAAACTTGCTGGGCATTATCTTTTTAAGCATGATTTCTGTAAACGTAACAAGATCACTTTTCTCAGTCCTGATATTTCACATAATGGCTTGAAAAGAAAGCACAACATACAAGTCCTAACATTTCTTTTTTTGCATAGGGAACGAATTATAATTAATATAATTATTTTAAAATGCGGCAATCTTTTAATGAAATGTCTTCATGGCATAGCACTTGTTTTCTGTATGAATTCAGAACGTCGGAGCAATAAAAGTGCTCTGCATAAGTTTATAAAATATGCTTTCTGGATTCAAAGTTTAACAGAAAAATTTCAAAACAGGTCAAAGGTATGACTGTAAAATCCTATGTACATATAAGTGACTACAGGAGGAAATGCCTCGCTGTGGTCCAACACAGTGTACAAATATGAAGCACAGTGCTGGGTATAATTTCCCTTTAGTTTTTCCTCATATTGGTGTAAAGTGACTAAGGACTCCTACAACATGCCCCATCCTACTTGCTGCATACACAGCAGAAGAGGGAAGTGAGGGCAAATTTTAAGTAGAGAATGGGGAAAACGGCAAAAATACAGTACATATGCGTAAACAGTGCACTTTACAAGACAGACTATTTTATTCAGATCCTTTTATAAAGTGCAGTATTACCTAACACACATAGACATGTACCTTAATCCTCTGAAATAGCCATTAGACCAACTGCCAGAAAGAGCAGTGCAAAATTAAAAACACACAGCCTTGCATGCATCGCAGGTGAATCCCAGACACAGGGCGTGGGACTGAAGTTCTTCTATTTTTGTTTTATCTTTTAGAAAAAGATTAATAAGCACATTATCATCATATGTAACAATAAAATAAAAACAATAAGTTAAAACTCTCAAGAAATAAGTATATATCACACATAAAGTTCATTACAGCATCTTTTCTGGAAACAGAACTTTTTCTCAGATAAATCACTACCCAAAGGGTGTGAATCTCTTCAGAGCCCACCTGGTCCAACAGACAGCAAGGGCTCGGCAAGTCCTGCTGCCAGACACCTGCAAGACCTGTGGCTCAGGCATGGGCAATCTGATCAGTCCCTACCTACTCTAACCAAAACTATTTGTTCTTTCAAGAATGGTCCCGGTGTCCTCATGGCAGGTCACTAAAAATACCCCGTGTTCTATTCACAGTAACATTCTCTATCCAGTGCTTTTGGATGAGGATAACCAACAGGTTTTCCTGAAAAAATCATTAAGAGGCAGATTCCAATGAGACCAAGGAGACACTTTTTTGTTGTTTTTAAAGCACAGAACATCACCTCAGGCACATGCTGAGGCAAACAAAGGTGCGATGGCTCACTGCTGACATCCCTCCCCCTCCTCTGCCACTCAGTCTGAGAACTGGAAGAGGGTCTCTGGGTTGGTGCTGTCCGCGGGGTTGCTGGCTGGCAGCGCCTTGGTGGGCGTGGTTTTCCCATGCGAATGGGAGGAGGACGAGTGGGAGCTCTCACTGGAGCTGCTGCGAGTCTCCGTGCTGGTGCTGGTCTTTTTCATTTTCCTTCTCTTGGCCAAGGGGGCCTTATCGACATTTTGAAGGCAAAACCCCTCTCTCTTGTATTTGTTAAAGGCCTAGTGGGGGAAAGAGGGAAGCCCTGAGAAGACAGAATGTTCCACTTTCTTGCCATTTATGACTCACACCAGAAGAAAATTTTCCATAGGCAACCACAGATTCCAGTTGTTCTGAGAACAACTTCCTGGCAGGGGAGAGCAGCTCATGGGAAAAGATTTCTGAGGGCTGTGCGTGTGCCTCTAACCACCTGGGCCACACAGGAGTCCGTGTGTGCTCACCCGTGTGTTACTGGGGACTGAACCTCAGGCAGGTGATTTACCACCCAGCCTCACCTCCAGCTCTTGAGCATCTGTTAAAGACATCGGCCCCACATCCCAGGAAGGAACGCCGACTGGAAATTCCTGAAGAACCAGCACGCTCACCATTATTTGACGGGCTGTGTTGCTAAGATTTACATTTCCCACCACAAAGTCCCCACACAAGCAGACTCAGGCCTCCCCAGAGCACAGCGCCCTGACCTTTCTTTGCCTCTGGTATAGGCAGGCCCGCACTGACTCTACCACCTGGCATGACAGGGCACTGAGGAGAACTGCGTCCTCCCAGGTAAATCCTGAGTTACTTTTTCCACTTCCCATATTTTCATCTATTACTTTTTAAAGTTCAGTGCTGAGCTGAGAAACACTACTCCTTTTCCTTTCTCAAGATAATCCCCTCAGCAATAATTTTATTTTTCCCTCACTCATCTACTCCTTAGACCAATGATCTTCTTGCATTTGCTTGGCACAAAGGTGCACAATGTACAGTTAGTAATGTACAGTCTCAGCCCAAGAGCTCATACAACTTTACTTTAAATGTATTAATGGAGAGGCGGTCTGAGGCTCGCAAATAAGCACATTGGAGGGGCCCCCTTTCCAACCACCTTCCCAGGCATGAGCAGTGCAGGCCTTACGTGGAAGGTTGCTTTCACACAGGTCTGCACAGCAGCTCCTGACGATCCCAGAATGTCGGGAGTCATGAGAGGATTCGAGGACAGCTGGCTGCCATCTTGAAGCCATTCATTGTACCTCAAGCTAGACATTTTAAGCCTTTTATTTGGATCAACTGTAAGAAGTCCTGTGGGAATAAATAAGTTATTTTAGGATTTGCCATTTCAAACAGTTTAAAAACCGACCTCAGACCTCAATTTCAATCATGTTCACACTGAATGATGGTTTCAGTAAGGGTTCAACCTCCTACCAAGGTAACTGCACATTTCATACACATGTAGTCTGCTAATGGACACTGAGTGCTCATAATAAGGTCACAACCACCTATGTCTAGAAGGCTTTTTTCTACCTGGCTTTTCAATCAGGAGAAAATCACCATCCAAAACAGACTCCTACTGCTGACTTACTAAGCCCCAAGTGAACAGACAGCACCCAGCTCCTCTTTGTTCACCAACCACCTTCCACAAGTCAGGAGTGGAGTGAAGCAGTTGGGTCGTGGAGGCAGAGACTCACAGAGGAACAAGCAGGAAACACAAAGATGAACTCCCAGCTGGTCTAACACGAGGGGACAAGTGCAGTGTGTGGGAGCAGGCCGCGATAGGGGCTAACCTAGGGAGCTGGAAGTCCTCCCAATGGGAAGAGGGACAGACAATGAGGAGCTCCATGGTGAGAAGAGCAAGTGTAGGGAGAGGAAGGAATCCGAACACTGGCACCTGGGAGGAGTGCAAGCATTCCACAATGGCCAGGGTGACAAGGAAGGAGAGGTAGGCTTGCATTCTGAATGCTAGGAAAAGGAGTCTCACCTGAAGCTAGCAGAAATCCTCCAAAAGATTCTTACCCGAAAAGAGTTATGGTCACATTTGTCACTCTGGTCATAGGTGATGGACAGGTAAAGTCAGAGGAAGTGAGACATGTTGGAAGGATGCTGCAGGACTTTAGCCAGAGCAATGATGGCAAGATTAAAGGAAAGGGCCTGTGGATGGGAATGGGTGGTTAGTGAACCTGCAGAGCTACAGGACAGGCTATGGAAAGAGGGGACAGCGCTGGTGGCCACATGACGCCAAGGTGCTTCACTCTGTGACCTTGTTTCTGGGCAGTGCTGCCATCTAAGAGGAGACAGGAGGAGGAACATGATTAGGAAAAAGCAGGGTGGAAAAGTATGGGTTTGTTTTGGATGTGAGGCCTAAGAGACTAATGGAAGCCAAGCTCCAGTTTACACTGGAAATGTGGATAAGACTAGTGTGGAGAGTTCTGACAGAAAAACAAGGCCAAAGATAGAAGCCTGAGAAGCCTGTAAGGATACAGGTGGACTCCCTGAGTAATTTATGAACACACATGTGTGATGGGTATGATTCTACTTAAGGCAGGACGCATGGCACACGATACCAAAGTGCATAACATTCTTACCTTGGATCAAATCCTTAGCCTCTTGGGACACATTCTTCCAGGCTTCCCCTTCAAAGGAGAAATCCCCCTTTTTAATTTTCTTCATGATTTCCACTGCGCTAGTGCACGTCAAGCTTCTGTTGTGAGACTGGAATGGAACCTGCCCTGACAACATTGTGTACTAGCATGGAAAAAAGTAAAACAGAATGACTGCCAGGATCACTGTCCACGCCACTCAGTAAGCCTACTACTAACTCAACCAGCATGATATGCCAACTATTACGACCAGTATTGCTGGGTTTAAATTATGTGATTCTATTGTTGCAGTAATAAATACACTTTAAGACTCATAAATAAAGTAGTATGGCTTTTTGTGATACCAAAATTGAAAGCCATTTTAATAATTACATTAGTTCCCTCTTACCAAAGGAGTAAGATGTTACAATTTTAGTTAATTATGCAGCAATCAGCTTTTGTTGAGAGTAATTTTCTGAGCCAAGCATGGCGGTACACGCTTGTAATCTCAGCACTCTGGGAGGCTGAGGCAAGAGGACTGCAAATTCTAGACCAGCTTTCTGGGGATGTAGCTCTGTGTGAAGGATCTGGGTTCAATCTCTGTAGCAGGGGAAAAAAGAGAACAATTTTCTATCTAGAAATCATCTGCAAATGGTGTAACAAAAACCAGGGGATATACTTATGTGTGTATAAATGCAGACACATCTATATGTCTGTCTCTATATAGGTATTTTATATGCCTATGAGGGGAGAACACATGTATACAAGAGAAAATTAGAAAAATAAACGTAGCAGAGTATTAGATGTTTGCAATATTATTCTATATTTTCTAGCTTTTAATTTTCCAAATAAAATTTTGAGAACAGAATGAAAAACTAAGGTCTTGGAATTAAGTGCCACCTCACAGGTATGTTACAGACCCTATTTTACATTTTCTAAAATCTGTGCATTAAGTGTTGAACTTTTGTATTTTCTCCTGAATTTGTATCTGGAATCTCTCCCCTTCCACGTGACTACAGTTAGAGCTAGGGCCTTTATGGAGGTAATTAAGGCTAAATGAAGTTCTATGGTAGGGTTTTGCTCCAACAGGATGACGGCCTTAAAACAGTGCACACTGGGAGTGCTCTGTGTGAGCACACAGGAGGCAAGTGGCCGGCTGTAACTCAGGGCAAGGGTGCACTCCAAAAACCAGTGTTGCTGGCAGTCTGACTTTGGTCAGTTCAGCCTCCCAGAACTGCAGGAAAAGAAAATGCTGCATTCAAGCCGTTCAGTGTGTGATATTTCATAGCAGAAGCACAAGCAATTTAATATGCTGTGTAAGCAGTATTTAAATGAAGTTCTGTACATTTTAGACAGGAACTGTACATGGATGGCATATACTGCTGTAATCAAAGTCACAGGTCACATAGGACATATATATGTCTTTTCCCAGAGTACTGATTTTATTGGATGAGGGTAATATATTTTCTTTTTTTTTGTGGTGGAACCGGGGATTGAACTCAGGCCCTTGCGTTGCCAGGGAAGCACTTATTCCACTAAGCCATCTCCCCAGCCCGAGGGTAATATATTTTCATGTTAAAATATTCATGTTCAAATTTATTAGATGCAAAATGCAAAGAGGCCATACATTTCAAAGGCAAATCAGGAAACTCCAAATAAATTCTGGCTTGCCGTGGGACAGTTCAGACTCCGTCTGTGTATGTCTACACAGATGCACGCACTTTGCAATGCATTCTGTTTTTATGATAGCTTCATGCAGGTGCTAAGTCTGCTCATTTTCTTCTGTAACTATCTGATCATGTATCTAAAAGGCAAGAGTTTTACAAACCAAAACCATAACCCAATATCATACCTAAAAAACCAGCATTAATTCCTGTCATTTAATAGCTAATCAATGTTTAAATTTTCCTCACTGTATAGTTTTATACATTTTACATTTATGGCAATTAAATCTTTATGAATGATTTATAATAAGAATTTAATAAATAAATTTAAATTACAAATTACTTGAATCAGAATTCAAGGAAAATATAAACATTGTTTCTTAGGGTCTTGATATATAGGTTCCCATATTCTTTTCTCACAATTTATTTGGTTAAGAAATTGTGGTTTGTCTTCAGGAGCTGCCCACAGTCCACCTGGACGTGGTAATGTATTCCGTGGTACTACCAATCTAGTTCATGCCCTAGATTTCTTAAAACTCTTGATGATCAGATCTAGAGGGAGCAATGCTTCTATCCACGCAGGTATAAACAGTTATTTCTGCAGAAATGACATTCAGAGGTTCCAAGACACCTTTCTGTACATCTAAGACCCTTAAAACTTTCAAGAGTTTGATGATTATAATTCGCCTAGATGTAACATGTGTTCTTTTGTTACAGAAAAGAAAACTGATACTGAAACTGAAAGGCTCTTTATATTTTGGGAAACATTGTTACTAATAAAAATGTCATCAAGTTAAGCCCCTATAACTCTTTTTGTTTTTGTTTTTGTTTTTGTTTTTGGCAGAATTGGGGATTGAACTCAGGCCCTTGCGCTTGCCAGGCAAGCACTTATTCTACTGAGCCATCTTCCCAGCACAGCCCCTATAACTCTTGAATCTACAGAATATTTGTTTACTTTTACTAAGAATAATCTTATTCATAAATTACTTTAGTTTGAAAATAATAAATGATGATTTAAAACTGCTCAGATGAAAGTCACATAAAGCTTAAAAATAAAGACGCAGCATTCTGTAGGAGCAAGCGACTAGCCAATGAGGGGAAATACACTGACACCAAAATAAATCCCAGATGGAGTACAGATCGAAGGATAAAAATAAAATGGGGTAATTCTAGAGGAAAATTTGCGAGAATATTTTTATAATATTGGGTTAAGGGTAGGTGTGGAGTGGCAATCTAACATCAAAGCCATACACCGTAAAGGAAGAGCCTGACATACGAATACACGGAAAAACAAACACAAGACAAAGCAAAAGCTCTAGCTAAACCTCTCTAAAAATAAAACCGAAATCTCCTATTATTATAAACAAAGTTTCCAAACCAAGGATAGGCCAGAAAAACATTTTCAATATTGATGTTAGATGAAGGATTAAAATCCTTGATAGAGGTTTACAATTTAGTAAGAAAAGTCTCCTCATAGGAAAATGGGCAAAGCTCACAAAGAGCAATTCAGGAAAAGCACAGACATCCAGGTGCATGAAGAGATAGTCAAACTGAATATTTATCAAAGAAATGCATGTAAATTATAAGAATAATGGGTTTAACTTAAGATAAAAATTGACGGCATCCAATGTACTTGCATACAGTTGGAATGTAACCCAGTAAATCTTTCTAGAAGGTAATCTGGGTATTATGCTGAGATAAAACTGTGTGTACTCTTCTCCTGAGAATTTATCCCAATGAAATAATGAGACAAATGCAAATATGCATATAAATATTAATTACTGTAGTTTATAATCAGTGAAAAATAGAAAAATGCTAACTGTTTATTAGTAAAGAAATGGTCAAATATATTTTGGAGACCCAAACTACATGTATAATAAAGTCCCATGACTAAAAACTCCACATTTACATACATGCACCACACAACGTGTAGGAGGGCATAAAGCTCAGATGCGTAGGAAGGAGAGGCTAGTGAAGAAGAAGCCTGAGAAGCACATTTGAATGGTAGAATCACAAGTGCTCTTCACTGTGCTCCTTATGCCTTGCTGCACCGTCTGAAAATTTCCCCTAAGAACATGCATTACAAATTAGGAGGATGTAAAGTTACTTTGAGGTAAAAATATGCTGAGATTTTTCTACCTTATGTTCAGTATTTGATCAAAGCAGCCAAGCAAATTTTTGGAAAGCACACTCACCATGATAACTATGAATTGCCATAAATGTTTCTGGTTTTATCTATTAAATCATTAATTTATCCTAATTATATTTTCAGGCCAAAAATTCATAGAAGTTACCATGTTTTTGTATTAACATCTAATTCTGCTATTTTTACATTAAATCCAATGCAGTGTGTTATGAAGACATTACTACTTCTTTTTAACCACTTACATTCATGTAAGTCACAGGCAACTTCAGTATTTCAAAATAACCAAATTAAGTTTTAAGAAATGGAAATACTCTTTGGTAAGGCCTTTAATTGGTCATATAGAAACCAATTTGTCATTTTCTCTCCATAAATTTAAGAAGAAATGGGGGCACAGATACACTAAGTACGGAATATATGGAGGACATAAAGCACGAGACAGGCATAGACTATTAAGATGAACTCACCAAGATGACGCCCAAGCTCCACAGGTCACAAGACTCATCGTAGCCATTATGATTCAATAGCTCTGGGGCTGCGTAATGAAGAGTAAAGCACGGGGTCTTCAGAGGTTGATTGTCAGGGGGCTTGAGGCGTGCAAACCCAAAATCAATTACTTTAATTTCCAAATTGTCATTTTCATCAGTGAATAATAAATTCTGTAAGATACCAATTCTTCAGTTAGTTTCTCATTAGATATCAAGGGATCTGCTGCTCCCATTTATCGAATAGTTTCTCAGTATATATTATTGATAAAGTCCCTGAGACACAACAATGTTAAAATCAGGCCTAGCAATAATCCTACAATGGTTCCCCAGTGCTCAACGGCAGTAAGAGATTCATGCCTTTCATTTTAAATGAAAAGCTAGACAAGATTAAGTTTACAGAGGAAGGCCTGCTGAAAGCCAAATGTGGCTGACCACTAGGCTTTTTGCCCAGTTAACCAAACAGTGAATACAAAGGCAAAGTTCTTGAAGGAAATCAGACATACTACTCCAGTGAACACAAAAATAACAAAGACCCCTCTTGCTGACATGAAGGAAGTCTGAGTGGCCTGGTTTGAAGATTAAGTCAGCTACAACCTTCCTTCAAGCCAAAGTCTAAAGAGGAGCAAGGCCTCAACTCTTCAATTCTATGAAGACTGAAGAGATAAGGAAGCTGCAGAAGGAAAACAGAAGTGGCAGAGGTTGGTTCATGAGGATTAAAGAAAGAGACTATTTCCACAACATAGAAGTTCAAGGTGAAACAGCAGGTTCTGATGTAGAAACCACAGCCCGGCAGCGAGAAGATCCAGCTGAGATCACTGATGGCAGTGGCTTTGCCAAGCAGACTTTCAGTGGAAATAGAACAACCTTCAATTTCAAAGTCAAAGCTTTAAAGGGCAGGCTGACTCTCTTGTGAGGAGCTAAAGTAACTGATGACTTCAAGGGAGGCTAGGTCTCATTTAGCATTCTATAAATCCTAGGGCCCTGAAAAATTATACAAAATCTACTCTGCTTGTGCTCTAAAAAAAGAACAACAAAGCTGGATTACCAACATACCTATTTACAGCATGGCTTGCTGAATATTTTAAGCCTACTGTTGAGACCAAATGCTCAGGCAAAAAGATTCAGTATCTCCACTCATTGACAATGCACTGGGCCACTCAAGAGCCCAAGTGGAGATGCATAACATTAATGTTGTCATCTGCCCACTTGCACAGTATGCATTCCACAGCACATGGATTAAGAAGTAATTCTGGTTTTCAAGTCTGTGTGTGTGTGTGTGTGTGTGTGTGTGTGTGCACGGGCATTTTGCAATGCCAGGAATGAAACCAGGGCCTCACACACAGTAGCAAGTGACTAACCTCTGAGCTATATCTCCAGTCACACTGGATATTTATTTATTTGTATTTTAGGACAGGGTCTACAGGGTCTCACTGAGTAGATCAGACTCATAGTGATTCTCCTATTTATAGCTTCCCAAGTGCTGGGATTATAGGCATGCACCACCATGCCCAGTCTCAATCACCCCAGGGGCAGGGCTGGCACAGCAGACCCGGGGATCTAACTCCAGGGACTTTGAGTCTGCCTAAGCAGGCACTTTAGTCCCTGAGTTATTTGGCCAGCCCTTCAAGTTGAATTTCTTATTTATTTATTTATTTATTTATTGCAGAACCGGGGATTGAACTCAGGCCCTTGTGCTTGCCAGGCAAGCGCTAAATTGGACTTTTTAAGGAAGAAACTTTGTAAGCCCACTGCTGTCATGGAGAGTGATATCTCTGCTGGATCTAGGCAAAATAACCTGAAAACCTGGAAAGGATTTGCTACTCTACATGCAACTTAAGAACATTTAAGGGCTGGGGAGATAGCTCAGTAGAATAAGTGCTTGCCTGGCTAATACAAAGGCCTGATTTCAATCCCTGGTTCTGGAAAAAAGAAAGAAAGAAAGAAAGAAAGAAAGAAAGAAAGAAAGAAAGAAAGAAAGAAAGAA